GTTTGGTTGGGTCGCAGGGCAGTGTCTCTGGGATACCTGTGTGCAGCTGGGGTGAGAGGGGCTGGGGGCTGCCCTGGCCTCAAGCCCCTCGTGGGGGCTGGCAGCTGGGTGGGGGTGGGTGGTGGGGCTGTCAGAGGGTCCAGCTCCCTGTGCTGTACTCGCACTGAGCAGCAGAGGGCTGTCCTCTGCTGGCCCACAGACACCTCCTCTGCAGAGCATCCTGCCAGCCTGGCCAGGACATCCTGCTGCAGGATGGGGCAGATTGATGGGGCAGAGATTAGACTCGAGGGAAACTGTAGGGCCCTGCTGGAACCTGGCATGTCCCTCTTAACCAGGTCCAGGCTCTCTGGATGGGCTGGTGCTTCCATGCAATATGGCCCAGCTGGTTGTGAAAAGACTTGGGAGAGGAAGCACCCAGCAGCTGGGTGGGCTGGATGTGCTGCCCCCAGAGCAGCCAGAAAAGCCCCACTGGGCTGCCCAGGGAAGACCCAGCACTTCCTCCTCTCCGCAGCCACTTGGGAGCAGCAAATCCCACACGGGACCCAGCTCACCTTGTGTGACCACCTTGCCAAAGACGGGCAGGGTGTCCAGCGTGGAGCAGTTCCAGCGGCGGTTGCGGAACTGGAACTGGCACTCCTCGATGGCCAGCTGGGCGCCGCGCCGCACCGAGTCCATCACCTCCAGGTTCCTCTTGCACATCTGCACCTGCCGCTGGATCAGGCCCTTCAGCTTCTCACAGGTCTCCTCCTCGGAGATGCTCCCCACTGAGGACAGCTTGGCCAGGTACCTGCCGGGACAGCCAGCGGAGCTGGTTAGGAGGCAGGGGGTTTGGGGGGAGCAGGAGCCCATACCCTGCACCAGGGACACCCTGCACCAGGGACACCCTGCAGCAGGGTGAGGAGACCCAGCCTCACCCTCTCCACAGCTGAGACCTGCCACCCATCTGGGGTCACCTTAAATATGCCACCGCGGTGGCTCCACGGGATGCATTTTTGTCTGGCAGAGAGCAAGCCCAAGCAAAACAACCATCCCTCTTCAGCCCAGTGCCCTGTCCCTGGGGCAGCCCAGCTGCTGGCTCCCCTTTGCCTCTGTTGCCTGCAAGGGAGATATTTTCGGCGTTGTCTGACCATGCCCAGTCAGGTCTCCTGAGCCCCGGCACATCCAAGTGCTACTAGGAAAAGCCAGAGGTCTCTGAAGTCAGACAAAACAAGCAGGACAGGCTCTTGGCTTTCAGCTCCAGCTGCCACACAGCTCCCACAGCATGGCTGTGTGCTCACCACCAACAAACATTGCCCTCCAAACCAGATATTTTCGGCGTTGTCTGACCATGCCCAGTCAGGTCTCCTGAGCCCCGGCACATCCAAGTGCTACTAGGAAAAGCCAGAGGTCTCTGAAGTCAGCCAAAACAAGCAGGACAGGCTCTTGGCTTCCAGCTCCAGCTGCCACACAGCTCCCACAGCATGGCTGTGTGCTCACCACCAACAAACATTGCCCTCCAAACCACTTCCCTCCTGGAGCCTGCTTTTAGCTCCCCTAGCCCCCCGCAGGCAGGGGTGGCCCCTGGGAGCTGCCAGGTTTCCTGTCACTTGGGATTCAAGCAGAGCGTGAAGTGGGGAAGGCAGAGTCAGGAGCCTGCAAACCCACACACACTGGGCTCCTGAGCGTGGCTGTGAGGTCTTTGTTGACCTGGAGGAGACTGGAGGCGACCACGTGCTGTGCTTTCCACCATCCCATCCTCAGAAGTAGCTACAGAGCTGCTCTTGAGCAATGGCATTAGGGGACAGGGGAAGCTGCCCCTTTTGGGGCAAACACCCCATGAGCTCTTGGCATCTCCCCACTGAGCACACGGGCAAGATGGTCCCTCCTGTGCATCCCAACTCACCACGACCACCACGTGTGTCTGCTCACCCATCTCCCAGGTCCATCCTCCTGTCCCAGCCTCTGGATCCCAGAGGGCTTTTAAGACAGACCAGTACAGCTCAGTCAGGATGTTGGATAATCCCAGATCCTCTCTCTGTGCCTGTGCTGGCACGTGCCTTGCTGAGCCTCCCTCCCTCCTGTGGCTGCTGGCACCAGCTGTAAGTGACAGTGCCACCAGCAGAGCTCTGCCCTGCCACGGAGCAGGGCAAGCACAGCCCATCTCTGCACCCACTGACCCCACCAAGCTTGGGAATCAGCAGCCTCAGCTCACATTGCTGCCTCGTCTGCACCAAGAGACTTGAGGACTGAGCAAAAGCTTTTTGGAAACCTCATTCCTTGACTCTGCATTTCCCAGCCCTACAGAGCTCGTGGACTTCTCTGCTTTGTTCTCTTGGGGTTTTTTTTTGCCTCCTCCTGAGTTGCGACATCCTGCTCAGGATTTTTTTTCCTTTGAAGCCCTGCTTGCCTCTGAGAAGTGACTGTGCAAAAGTGGCTCCTGCTCCCCCCCTGTTTTTTTGGAAACCTCATTCCTTGACTCTGCATTTCCCAGCCCTACAGAGCTCGTGGACTCTCTGCTTTGTTCTCTTGGGGTTTTTTTTTTGCCTCCTCCTGAGTTGCGACATCCTGCTCAGGATTTTTTTTCCTTTGAAGCCCTGCTTGCCTCTGAGAAGTGACTGTGCAAAAGTGGCTCCTGCTCCCTGCCTGTTCCCATGTGTCCCAGGAGCCAGATCTGCTGACTTCAGCCACAAAACTCAAGCTGTCACAGCCGCTTCCTCCCATTAGCCCTGCCACTCTGCCCCAGGAGGAGAGCACAGGATTCTCTCTTCCGTGCATCAGCAGAATTGCTCACCAGCTTGGTTTGGTGCTCACAACTGGGGGGCCGTGGGAGATGGTGGGAAAGCCAGCTTGGCTCACAGGGCCCGTGGGGAGCCTGCCTGGGGAGCTGATAGAAGTTTTCAGCCCCCCTGTGTGTGGAGACCACTGGGTGAGACGCCTCTCGGACAGCGGGAAGGGGCAGGCAGCCAAGTTTCTCTTCCAGCCTTTATACCAGCTCAGCATCTTTGCCCGAGGCTTTCTGCTCCTCCAAGGGCAGAGCCCTTTTTGCAGAGGACCAGCAGCACGGCTCCCTGATGCACAAAGCTGGCCAGGAAAGGCCAGCCTGGCAAACCCAGGGCTGTCACCTCCCTGCGGGTCCCCGCACCCTGCAAGGAGTGTCCCTGCTCTGTGCTGCAGTCCCCGGGTGTGGAACGTGCCAGTTGCTGTTCCCACATCTTGCTGCACTCAGCTGACGCAGGGTGAAGGCAGCAAATCACCCTTGGGAGCTTTGATGCTGAGCAAACCCGGGGTGACTGTGACAACCATGTCCCACCCCCCAGGTCCAGCCACCACCCCAGTTTGGGCACGGCGAAGCTGACACACAGCAGATTCATCCCAAAGCACTGTGGGTTGGTTGATCACTTTTGAGCCTGGAAGCCAAGAAAACCAGATTCTACCTCCAGGACTAACCCCTTGTGCTGATTTGGCTTTTCCCTCCCTCCTGCAACTTCAGCAGCATCTGTTGTACCAGGGAACCAGCTCCTGCCCAGGAGTCAGTGCCCAGCCCAGCTGCAGGCACCTCATCAGGAGAGAGCCAAGCACCCTGTGGATCAGCTACATGAACACCAGCTCTGCTCAGGGTGGGGGCACCCATCTCCTCTCATGCATTTCTCAGTTTGGTGGATTTCTCCAGGCAATGGAGATTATAAATCAAAATTCAGAAATTCAAAGCACACATGAAGAGAAGTGTGACAAGAGCCTTTCAAGCCTTTCCAAGTAGATGTGCCTGATAAGATGCCTCCCCAGCAAACATTTAATAACTGTTTGGGATGATAAAACAAAGGCCAAAGATGCTTCAAAGATAGGTGCAGCTCTCCAAGAACAGGTCTGGTAATTTGTTTTCCAAGGCAGGCAAATAAGATGAAGTTATCCAGAAGGGTGCTCTGGTCTCTCTCCCCATGACAAGTCCTCTTTGTGCCATCACCCTTGTTCAGCCCATGCATGTCTGCCCCTCCCTGGGGGTGGAGGCAGCTATGCCTAAAATGCCATGGCCCCATCAGACTTTCAGGCTCCCACACCCTGTGAATACCATCATTGCTTTCCAAACAAGGTGTCTTTTGGATAGGCAGGCTGCCATCCTGTGGACTGACCCAGGAGGGATCCAGAGGTGGAGTCCAAGGTGCAAGGAAGGACCTTTCTCAAGCGTCAGGCAGCTTTGAGGCTTTCACATGAGGCTTCTTTCTCTCCACACCACATTCAGGGGCACATGGCAGGAACATCTCAATTCTTTTCCCCTCTCTGGGGAGCTGAAGGGCAAGATAAGAGCTAGGAAATGTCCTCTGTCCTCACCAGCACTCAAAGATGCTCCCAAGCTGCAACTCACAGAGCATTTCTCAGGGCTGGGGAGCCCAAGCAAGGTACCAAACCCATCCACAGCATCCCACAGTCACCATGAAAAGCTCCAGCAGTGCTAGGTCCTTAATGAGCACCTTGATCCAAGCTCCATAATCCTGGACTGAGGTGGTAGAAACCTTTGTTTACCCCCACACAGAGCAAGACAGGCATAACAGGAGGGTGCCCTGCCCTCTGCAAGGTCTCAGTGCAGATCTCCATCCTGCTACCACATCCTGATTGCTGGGCAGAGCTCTAGGTTCTGACTGAAGTCTCAGCTGCAGCCTCAAAACAGCCCTATTTGTAGGGGGGAAAAAACAACAACTCCAAATCATGGCATCTTTCCTTTTTTTTCCCCAAGATTGGGCAAAGAGAGTTTCAAGGGGTGAGCTTCTGCCCCAGCCCTTTGGTCAAGTTCTGTCTTCTTGCTTGGCATTTAGGCTGCTTTAAATCAAGACCAGTCCCTCACAGAACAAGCTCCCTTCTCACAGAAGTCACTGATTTAACACAAAACTGATGGAAAACCCTTCCATTTTTTTTTTCCCCACCCACAGATGAAGATCAAAGCCCCATCATTCAAGTGGCTGCAGTTGATCCACCCTGAGAGATGGCAAATGAGGAAACCTCAACCCCAGGCAGCTTTGGAAAGGCTGGGGAGGGGAAAGCCCTACTGACATCAAAATGACTATAACCATCTCAGAAGGAAGAATAATTGCTGGAATGACAAGGTGACCTTGGAAGAGCCACAGTGCAGATGGAGCCAGAGGGAGAGGGGGTTCCCTGCCTTGGGAAGGTGTGGAAATTGGAGTCATTGACAAACTCTCAATAGAGGCCAGGGAGGATGTAACAGATGCCTTGGAGAAAGCATCAGTCTCTTGAACGAGTTTCCAGTGTGAGAACTCTTTGTATTATCTCATTTTGGGAACATTTTCCTCAAGATGGTAACACTTGGACCCAGGCCAGTGGTAGCACTGGGGTGTTTCTCTCTCAGAGATGCTGAGAAGTCAGATGAGCTCAGAAGCTTCACCCTGTGCAGCCTGACTGGGCTACCTGCCTAGCCAGGGTCACAGAAGTGTTGCTGAGGTCTTGGATTGTGCAGATGCTCTTCTCAGAGAGGCAGCCTCTGCAACCATCCCTTCTGCCCAGGGATAACAAAGTCAGCCCAGATCACCAGTGCATTTCTGCCTCTTGTAGCTGGACATATGGTCAGCCAGGGACTCAGAGTTGTACTTGGGATTGAAACTGCCTTGTGCCTCTGCACAGGTTTCTTCTGAGGAAGAACAAAAGGCTTGTTGATGACAGAAGAAACAAAAGTGCATGGAGATGGCCAGATGGATGCATGGGAAGAGAGAGAGGTACAGATGGGCCACCAGAAGGAGCCACCCTGCAGCTATGGAGAAGGGCATCATCTTTTTCTTGTTGCTTTCCTCCTCTTC